CAATAAGAGGTGGTTATTGAAGGGCATGGGTAGTTTTAGGGTGTACTTGACAGTGGCAAAGGCTACTATTGTTTTGGACTGCAGCGAAGGACTTTGAATTATTTCCTTTTCCTCTCCAGCATTCTAATTCCCAGACCCAAGGATAGTAAGCAAGTCAACCACTCAGGAAGGAAATCAGTACATAACTTCAGCTTGCTGAAAAGGAAATGAAAGTATGTGTCTTTACAGAGATTCCCAATACTGTATCTTGCCATAGCTGTTATGGAACTCACGAGCCATGGCATTGGTTTTTCTCTACGTCATTGTCGCTCATATGTTAAAGAGCATAGGGACCACCTGGGATCTTGTTAAAATTCAGATTCTAATTCATGAGGTAAAAAAGAAATTACTGTGGCAAAATATATGTAACAAAATTTTCTCTATTTAAACTGTTTTTAGACGTAAAATTCGGTGACAGTCTCCATGCTGTGCAGTCATCACAATTGACTATATTTCCAAAAGTTTTTAATCATCCCCAAAAGAAATTCAGTATTTTTTCAGCAATTACCAGCTGCCACCCCCAGCCTATTTTCTGCCTCAATGAATTGCCTATTTTAGATATTTCGTGTACGTGTAATTAGACAATATTTGCCTTCTTTGTGTCCAACTTATTCCCTAAGCAAAAATGTTTCCGTGTCATTTTATGCATCAAAATGTCATTTCCCTTTTAAAAACCATTTCTATACATTATGTTTTATAGAATTATTTCCTATCGATCCTTTTCAATGCAGCATAGTATTCCATTGTGCAAATATACCACAGCTTCTCTACCCATTCGTTTGTTGATGGGCATTTAGATTGTTTCCCACTCCTTGCTATTGTAAACAAAGCCGCGATAAACATGGGTATGCATATACCTACTTGGATGTCATTTATGGTCTCTTTAGGGTATATTCCTAGTAGTGGAATTGCTGGGTCAAATGGTATCTTTATTTGCAATTTTTTGAGAAAGTGTCACAATGCTTTCCACAGTGGTTACACCATTTTACACTCCCACCAACAGTGATTATCATCCTGTCTCATCAAGTCCCCTTTGCACTTTGTCTGTCACTTCTACCCCCCATCATCCCACTAATCTCTGCTGCCCTAGAGGGTTCCTCCCCTTATCTGCCACCTCTCCTTTTAAATAGCTGTAAATCTCTTGTTCCTCTTTGCTAATTGCTGTAGCCATGTTGTTCTCTCCTGATTCTCTCCAGGTGGATCCTCCCCTGTCCTCGTTCTTTACAATGTTCATTGTCTGCACATTCTATTTCTGCTTTCTCCGTCCCTCTGTGTCCTCAAAAAGCCCCCTTCCTTTCCTTTTATGGATACATAATGTTCCCCTGGTATGTCTACACTCCACAGTTTATCCGTGCATGTCTCTGTGGATGGACACTCACGTTGCTTCTCTCTTTTGGTTGTTGTGAATAGTACTGCAGTGACCTGCCATATACTGGGCTCCTGCATCCTTAATAAGCTCCCACATGACGCCAGTGCTGCTGGCTGTGGACTGCACTTTAGGTTGCAAAGTTCTACTTATCGTGAAGACTTGCCTTTCAAAGTATGAGTCCTTCAAATATATTCACCAAGACCTTGCCATTAAAACTATTTACAAGATCTGTATTAAAGAGAAAGAAGGCCTGAATAAAAAGTGATAGGGTATATTCATGAATGCTGTTGTTATTATATGCAATAGCTACTCATAAATAGGAGTTCACTATTATGAAATATTAATTTTCACCAGTTTTATGTATAGATTCAATGTAATCTCTGTAAAACCCATAGACTTCTGAATTTTATTTTTTTTGGTATAAATTTTCTAGATGATTCTAAACTTTACTTAGGAATACAGTGAACCTCTTAAAACAGCTGATGATTTTGAAAAGAATGAAGTGGAGGACTCACTATTTCAAGATTTATTATAAAATTATATTAAGACAGAATATTATTGATGACACAAAGATAGATAGTAACAGAATGATTGTCTAAATAGACTGAAACATACACGGCTAATTGATTTTCTGAAGTCATTATGTTAAGTGAAAGAAGTCAGAAAAGATTACACACACAGATTCTACTTATATAAAATTCTTGAAAAGATAAAACTCTAGTGATGGAGAACAGATTAAAGAGTGGGGCACAAAAGAGCATTTGAAGGACACAAGAGAAACTTGTAGGTTGATGGAAATTATATCATAATTGTGATGGTATTAGTGGTTTTATGGCTGTATTTGTCATAACTTATCAAATTAAGCAATTAAAATTTATATATTATGTTGCATGCAAAAAAAATCCTACGCAAAAACCCAGTAACAGTGTTTCTGGATATTAGTACATTCATTGCCTGCCCCATTTAAACTTTGCTTGATTTGAAATCATTCTAAACGAAATAATTATCATGTTGGTAATTAATGAATGAAATGTATTCCCATCTAAAGGCAGTAAAGTGTAGCCCCTCAGATCTTGGACCTTAGAGTCACACGACCTGCAGCCCCGTATCAACTCCAGTACCTGGGTAGGCAAGTTACTCTGCCCTTCTGTGCCTCCCTTTGTGCCTACAGACACTCACTGTCTACCCGCAGTATAGTGCCAGCAAGGATGGTGAAATTGGGCAAGTTGTTAGAAGGGGCTGGTCCTTGGAAAGGGCTATCATGCTTGGAAAGGTGGAGAGTCAGTGAAAGAGAGGAAGACCCTCAATGAGATGGATGGACACGGGGACTACAGCGATGAGTTGGAGGGTGTTCGAGGTGATGGGGATGGCACAGGATAGGACAGGGTTTGGATCTGTTGCTCATAGGGATGCTATGGGTCGTACTTGACTCAACATCACCTATCAACAACACTGCTTCCGTTAGAAGGGTGTGAGGTTCAAATGAATTAATACATAGAAAGTGTGAAACATTTCCTTAGGTATAGTAAGTATTCACTAGTCTCAATAGTAACCCCTGAGAATCAATTTGTGTTGTGACTTTACCTCTTTATCCTAAAAGATGGTTCTGCCCTTCACCTTGCCTTTGATCCATGTGCACTCATGTAACCTGAGGTTTTCTGTAAAACGTTGGAGTTGGAAGAGACTTGGGTGGCATCTAAGCTGAGGAGTGACCACACTGATGGAGGCGGCGCTGAAGACCTGACTGAGTTGACTGCGTCTGCTCTGTAGTCGCGAGGCTCATGGGGTTGGCACTTTTAATGCTAAGATCAATAAGTGACTTCTCTTGACCCTGCCATTCATTAATTCCAGTGTGTGGTGCTTGTTTTTTCTGCAGAACAATTCGGACCCCACTTGCAGAAGACCTGTCCTGTCATCGCCATGAGCTCGGGTAAGTCATTTTAAGCTCATCTTTCTGTCCTTTAGCGAATCTCCTCTTGGCAACTAACCCGAACTTCTCATGTACTCTGGAGGCCTTGGTGGCCTTCTGTTTTTGGAGACCTTGGTGAGAATCCAAGCTTTGTCATAAATCATTGTCGTCATCACCACCACGTCTCTTATTCTGATTTATTGAACACCTACTACTTTTGTCTAGAACTGCATGTTGTATGTAGCATGCCTTCGATCTTTGCACTCGCCTTTTGTTCCTCTATTTTTGACAGCTTTATTGCACTATAATTGGTCTATGTTATACTGAACATATTTTAAGTGTACAGTTTGATCCATTTTGACTTATGCAGACACCTCAGTGGCATCCCTTAATCCTAGTGACAGCAGTAAAATAAGCAGATAGACTCTCAATGCCCCAGGGTAGGAGCTAATCCCACACTTCCTTCACCCAGGCTGGAGGCTTGCTCCTCTTTTGCCGCTCTGCCCTTGATAGTAAAATTCAAGACTTAAATGTATGACTGGATTTGAGTATTTTTAGCTTGGGGCAGGGTGGAAAGCATGGCCTGCAGAAGACAATAATGGGATCAGACTTCCATGTTATGCAGCCAGGAGTTGACAGGCTTCCAGCCCTGGCTTCCAGGCAAAGAAGTTTCCATCTGGAGACGAAGGCCCACCTTGGCCCCCAAGCAGGTCTGCAGACTGCGAGACCAGCAGATTGAGTGGGGCTCGACCTTGAGGACATTAAAACAAACCATCTTCCTGATTACTCAGGGGCCTCCTAATCCTGCATTACTTCTAGAGCGTTGCCAGAGCCCTCTGTCAGTTAAACACAGGTCTTTTTATTCATTTCCACGCAGTGCCCTTTGCACCACTTAGCTGTGCAGGACGGTACTTTGTTGGGAACAAGGCAGGCTCTGGGTTAAAGAGCCTATGTCACACCCTGGCTTCCTCGCACTACCCGGGTGACTTCAAGCTTGTGGTAGACACTTCTCTGCCTCCTCTTCTGGACAGTGAACACAATGATGGCACCAACTCATTGGGATTTTGTGAGGATTAAGTACATGGTATGAGGCATCGGTGGCTCGGTGGTTCAATTCTCACCTTCCATGTGGGAGACCCGGGTTTGATTCTTGGCCAGTGGAACCTCATGCATAGAGACCACCCACCTGTCATTAGCAGTTTGTGTGTTTCTCTGATGCTCAGAGGGCATCGCAGAACTTCCAGGCTAATATGGACTGGGATGATAGGCCTTTGTCCAGTAGTAGAGACCATTTGGAGAGGACCACAAAGCTGTTTGTGTTGGGTTTTTGTTTGTTTGGGCTTTTTTTGTTTTGTTTTGTTTTTAACACATCATAAAGGAAGCCATAGCAAGAAGGCAAGAACACTTCCATCACCCATGGTACATCCCCTCCCCAAATGGCTTTTGTGTCCTTGGTTTAGACATTCAGCATTGTTAGTGATGACTTAGGGGCCAGCACACCTTCATGAAGATGAACCAGCAGGATGTGCATTGAGGGGGAGAGAACCTTCCAGAGTCGGCCAGCTTTGCTCATCACCCTGCCCCCAGCCCAGCTCAGTAGATGCCAGAGATCCATGATCACAAGCCTTGTGCCCATTCTCTTTTTTCTTTTAGAGTGTGATATTGATGCTCGTAAGACTGTGGTGAACGGGTTGGTACCGGGCAGCAATGGACAAGACAAAGGTAAGGCTCTGGAAGAGAAGCATGGCCGCAGTCCCAGAATGCTTTGCCGGAGAAAGCACACCGCCGGCGTGATGTGGTGGAAACACTGTTGGCCTGCCCCAGCCATGAACAGGAGAGGCCTGTTTCCTGAGCTGGCTTTCCGAGAGTGAGCGCACCCTGGCGTTTCATGAGTGTGAAGCTGCTGTTTCTTACACTTGAGAGCTGAAAGGTTGAAGCATTGGTCTTCGCTTGCTGGGCTACTATGTATAGCAGATCAGATATCTGGAAGGAGATGTACTTTATGCCTGGTGCCTGTAAGATCAGCCCGAGATCTTCTTCACCTGGCATTTCCTCCTTACTTGTAGCATGATAGTGACACCTTCACACTCCTGCCCTCAAGGCTTTAAACCAGTGATTGCAGTGGTATTAGTTTCATGTGTATCCTCTCCTATTGCTAGGTTTAGGGTGAACTATTTACCTGTGAGATGAATGGCCCTGGAGTCTCTCAATGTGGCTGCCCACCTAGACAGGAAGCAGGGTGACCTAGCAGTGTGAAGGAGCACATGGGCTGGAATGAGGAGATCTAGGTTCAAGTCCTGATGCTAATTCTCTCAGAGGCCTCTTGAGGGAGGCCTTGATATTTGCAGTTGTGACCATCCTCATCTGTAGTTTGATGGTCCACAATATTTATTGTCGTGTTCAAATCCTGAGTTCCAATGATTCTGTCAAAAGGCATTCAGCTGCATTTTATTGTCTGAAAAAAGGGCAAAACCCCTGGCATTGGGTGTTTTTATAAAAATGTAACAGCTGTGGAAAAAGAATTCCGAGTTTGACATGTCAGACCTTTGATTGTAATTTCCATCTAGTTCAGTCAAGTATTCCTTCTGGGACAAGCTGAAGTATAGACTTGGAGGAAGCTAGTCAGAGAAGGCAAACGTATGGGGCAAGAAGAAGGGGTCCCACTTGGTTTGGGGTGGCTCCGTTGGTACCAAGGAAGGGTCCTATTTTCCTTGTCTCTTTGCTTCTCCACCAGCCTCCTTCCTCTGTCATTGGTGTAGGGCTGTGTCTTCTGTGTTGTCTGTGACAATTTACTAAGTTTCACTTAAGGAGTGTTTAAGGACCATACAGTAGAGGGGGCTCATGGGAGCATCTAGTGGGGAGTATGGGAAGGCGTGAGTGTTCTGATGCCTTTAAAACCTTCAGGGCCTCCAGGCCCCTCCCTGTGAATTCCTTTCCAAAAGAGCCTCAAATAGGAGGAGGGAAGTAACAATTAGAAATGGAGTCCACACTTTCCTTGGTAAGATCCACCTTTGGCTCAAAAGAAGGAAGCAGTTGTATACCGCAGGACATGACAGTGGCTCAGGGTGGTCCTTGAATCAGGAGTCTGCAGAACTCCAGTCCCAGCCTTTCCACTTGGGACCCACCTGAATGGCTCTGAGCAGCTCCCTGAGCTGTTTGCTTCTCTCCCTAAGATGGTAACAGAACTTGTCCCAACCAGCCAGTCCCCAAGGGGGTCATAGAAGCAGTCAGTCAAACTGCAGCATTTTGTATCTTACTACGTGGAGTATCATTACAGTTAACTTGATTCTTGACTGCCATATGCTATAGGCAGTGACAGGGCAGTGGAGAGGAGGGTGCACCTCCCACCCCTCACAACGAACTTGTCTGCTTGACTCCTGGTCACCCACATCAGGCTTGTTTCCCAGAGCGCCCAGTTCCCTGGGCTTTATCTGTGATCACAAGCCCTCTGGGTGTTACCGATGGGCATGACACTGGCACCATAGCACATGAGCTTCATGCTCTCTTTATTTACTTCCATTAGAGAGAGAGGATAAAGGGAGACCAGGCTTGTTTTGGGGAGGAGAGTTTGGGAATCTGTCCACCATTGAGATTCCAAAATCTGGGGAGACAGGGAGCCCAGAGAACCTTGCAAGTTGATAACCAGGACCACCCAAGATGGGAACAATAACTAAAGCACATCCCAGACAGTGACTGCAGCCCTTCTGAAGGTTTGGGGTCTGGATCTGGGTTCTGGATCCTGGTCTGTGCCACTTGGGTGCTGCCTAGAGTCCTGTGCATACACTTGGATGCTTGACCACCTCTTGCTTAAGAAAGAGTGAATTTTAAACAAGACCATCTGCCGCTCCACAGATGGGGCTCTAACTTGCTTGGGGCAAGAGGGGTTTGATTGGCAGAGCAGGCCCTGGGCCTAGAAATGCTGATGTGGGGGAAGCGTGTGATGGATGAAGGGACCAGGCAGTTGCTGGACTTGCCCTTTCCCTTCTTCTCTTCGTCTGCAGCCTGCGGGCCAGAGCCCGCTTGCTTGGGTCCTCCCTCACAATGAGGACGCCCAGTGTTCTCCCAGAGGACCCCTGGGATGCACTCTGCTCGCCCCTTCCTCTGCTTGCCAGGCCATCTGTGTCTCTGTAAATCTCTTTGTCCAGGGCTTTGGCAAACTCCTGATACGGCAGGAGGCACAGAGCAGCCCTGACCAACTGAATCTGGGTGATGGCTGGAGGGAGGGAGGGCTCTGCCTGATTGTGTATAACTCTTAAGAGAGAAAGCAAGTTATTTTTAATTACTACATCTACGGCCCTTTGTATTATTCTTTTTGTGTGGGTGACTTCCTCCTATTGTCCCCACCCAGTTCCTCAGATGCCTGAGTGCTTCCCAAACGTTCCTTCTGGATGCACCATTTACCCTTTTGTGTTTTCAGCCACTGCCGACCCTTTACGTGCACGCTCTATTTCTGCTGTTAAAATAATTCCTGTGAAGACAGTGGAAAACCCTGCAGGCCTAGTACTCCGGACAGGTATCTCTCCTTGGGTCGCCTTGTCTCTGTTTTAATTGTTAGCAAATCATGCATGGTGTTCCTTTCTCCCGTCTTCCCTTCTAACAAATCCTTGGAGGTTTAATCCTTGCATGTTTAGGAGGTCTTCTCTCTCCCTTCCTTGGCCTGTTTCCTTTCTTCCTCTGAGGGTGTGTGTGGGTGTGGGTGTGGGTGTGTGGGTGTGTGTGTGTGTGAGAGAGAGAGAGAGAGAAAGAGAGAGAACGCATTAGCCAGTGAAGAGAATTGAGAATAGATGCCTTGCTCTTTCTGTCTGCAAAAGAAGGGTCAGTCCAGAGGCTAAACTTCTATTCTAGGGTCCATGAACTTGTTTGGCATTCTCTCCAGTCTTTACAGCTCCCAATACTTTATTTAAAACTCCAGTGTCCCCCAGGATTAACTTGGCCCTGCAGGAAAGCTCTGGATTGGGCCGCATATGAAGCCTCTGTAATGCTCCCAACTGTCCTCACTCCCACGTCACAGGCTGTCACTTCTTCCCTGTCCTCCAGGAAGTGATACAGTTCAGATGTGAGTTCCATCTCAGAGCGTCCTTCTGTACAAAATGGGACACGTGTGGCATATCACATCCCCCCATAGATACTCCCTCCCGTCGAGTTTGCTCAATGATATGTGGTGACATGGGGGTTTCTTGACTTCAATCTATAGATCATCCTCCTTCCTTCCACACAGACTGTAGGTGGGTCACACTGTCAACCTTTTCAGTGATAGTGAAAGCACAAATTGTTTCTGCCACCCAAGAACCCCACCCCCACCCCTGCAATGAGATACGCCAAAACCAAACTGAACTTATTATCATTGGGTTGATTGTGGCTCGCACAGTAAGCCAGTAGAGCAAGTAGAACAGCTCCTTGGGATTCCTCCCAAAATGCTGCTGGGAGGTTTGATCCACCCATCTTTCCGTTAGAAGCTGAGTCTTTAACCGCTTCCCCACCCATTAAGAAGCATAGACAATGCTTTGTCCCATGGTAAACCTGGCTATAAGCCCTGCAACCTGTCCACGGGTTGGAGCTGTCAGATTGCTACTCTGCCTTTGGAAGTGGCTGTGAACCCACTTTCCCAATCATTCTGTGGCATAAGTCACTTCAAATGCCCTGACATACATTGTGTTTTGTGCTTGGCTTTCACTGGAAGAGACGCTGACAGGGCAGGTCTCTTCTTTTCTCTTGCACTAATGGTCCTCTGTCTGGGCTGTTGGGAGGGCCTGCTGGAGCAGAAAGCAGGGAGAGAAGGGGCTTCCTTCTGCCCTAGCCTAGGATGGCAAGAAGTTGGACATCTGAGCGTAGCTCCTGCTCAGCAACCCTTGTGTTTCAGCCCCCAACCCCACTCTGCTAATGATCCATCAAGGCTTCAGGCCCGAAAGCAGAAAGCAACCATGAAGTTTAGTTCAATTCATTTGCAGAGAAAGAAACACTCTGACCATGTACCTTCTAGAACCATGTATCCGGCAGTTGCCCAGGTCTCCTTCCTGGAGGGCAGACCCTCTGGATCATGTGACGCTCAGTTTGAAATCTTTCTTTCTTTCTTTTTGAGTATTTTTTAAAAATTTTTATTTATTTATTCTTTTTATGTGTGTACCGTCAAATCAGATCTGACTGGTACAGGAGGTGATTGTTCCTCCTTCTTCAGCAGAGCATCTGGTGGATTTGAACCGTGCACCTCTGGGATTGCAGTGCAGTTTCCTGCCACTAGGCCACCAGAGCATGCCTGAAATCTTTCTGAATGGGCACTTCAGAGATGATCTGGTTGGTCATTAGTCCACTGTGAGACCAGAGAGGCGGGACCTGGAGATGCTCAGCTTCAGGCGTAGTGAACACTGGGCATTGAAGGAGTTAATGCTTGGAGTGGTTTCCTTTGGTGTGAATTTTCGTCCTTCAGTTTGGAATGTAATGCTGTCTCATCCAGAACTTTCTCCCAGGACAGTGTAGCCTCTGTCTCGGTATGTCCAGGAGTGACTTGCTGATCCAACAGGTTTTCTTTCCTCTTTCTGTTGACCTGCAGGGAACGGTGATTCTCCTCAGAACCATGATCTGATTCCCTAGTTTGCCAGCTTGAGAAATCTTTATAAACTTACTCTTCAACTGTACCTAACTAATTAGTCAAGTGCCTGTTCACCTACCATATAATAAAAGGAATAAACTTGCTTTCATTTTGAAACGTTTTTGACTGATACTGAACTCTTACTATTACTCCGAATTCATTGTTGTTTCCATCCCCCCCAACCTCATGATGCGTGGAGGTAAACCTCAGAATTCGAGGCGTGTCACTCTCCACTGCCACCCAGTCATTTTCCTTGATCATGAGGGTTTGAAGACATCACATGGATATAACAGTTCATCTCATCTCCAGCTATAACAACTGGCTCACTGACTGCCTGTCATCCTTTGTGGATTCTTGCTTGGCTTCAGTCATCTCCTTTGGTTCTGTTCTTTTCAGACATGGATCCCACAAAATTCTGCACTGGGAAAGGAGCGGTGACTCTCCGGGCCTCTTCCTACAGAGAAATCCCAAGCAGCAGTCCTGTGAGCCCTCAGGAAACCCCACCCTCTGAAAGCAAACCAGGTGCGTCAGCCCTCAGCCTGCAGGGAGAAGTTCAGAGCTGTGTGGGAAGGCTCGGGATCATTTTGCCTCTTCTCAAGAGGGGAGGTCTGGATGGCCCACAGCCCCATGCTCCTGAGCCCACCTCTGGCTACTCTCCACTGTGGCTTGCCACCTTAAACCCGCGGAAACATGGGGTCCTGGAGAGGAGGCAAGTAATTTCTTCCTAAAACTAGCTTATTCTGGCCTCTCCAGATTTAACTAGGGACAGCCCAGCTCCCAAACTTTAAATCATGTGGGATGATTTGAAGAGGAAGGTTGTATCTGCAAATCCAGTAAAATGACCTATATGGAGCCTTAGTGACATAGCTGTCAGACTGCTAACCAAAAGGTTAGAAATTTGAATCCACCAGGTTCTCTACAGACAAAGATGGGATTTTTCTTCCTATAAAGGTTTACTGCTTCAGAAACCCACTGGGAGGTCACTAAGTTTGGACTAAATGGGCCTGTCTAGAGTAGAGGTGGTGGTGGAAAGGGAGCCTTGCGCTCCCCCTAGTGGCCATAGAGTGTGAACATGCACATGTAGAAACCAAACCTACTGCAGAGTTGATTAGGACTCAACATGTAATGCCATATATGTTGCACATCACACTGTGTTTCCTTGAACCGTGATCACTATGTGGTGATTTGAGAGGTTTTTAAGAAAAAATGCAAAACTAGCAACAATGAGTGAATGGAAATCCAAAGTCTCTCTAAACGTTCATTAAAATTAATAATAATTAAAAAAAGAAAAATTTACAGTAGTAAGTTCAGAGAAAGATAAGTCAAAGTTTCAAGTAATTTTATCTACTATAATTTCAAATACATCCCTTCAGGTGGACTTTATTTCTGGTCAATCAATATTTCTACAAATTAAAAATTATTCATTATAAGGATTAGCAAAATATGATCTCAGTATGAGCTTTACAAAAAGAAAGTAAAAAGCAAATATTATGCAAAATATTTATTTCAATAAACCTCTCAGCAAATTTAAATCATGAAGCAAAACTGAAGTCTTAAGACTTTTAAAATAAAAGAAACAATTTTAAAGAAAGAAAAATGCAAAACTAAATAAAAAAATAGGAGATCAATAGTCATACAAGGATCTTTTACCATAAAAAATGATAAATGCACTCTATCACATCAATAAAACAAAGGACAAGAAAAAAACTAGGACATCAATAAATTATTTTCCTCCTGGAAATGTGAGAAATGAGATGATGGGAGGAAAAGGCCAGGTGATTGTGATTGTGTTGGGGAAGGACAAGAGGCAGTGTGTTGCTGCAGAAGAGACTGGACTGGACTGTTGTTCCATTAACTTGCTCTCTGACCTTGTGTAAATCGCAGAGTCTCTGGAGCCCGTGTAAAGTGTGAAGGGTTTAGATGGCTCCCAAACCTTTCCTGTTCCAAAATGCTCTATGACCTTGGGAAGTTTGGGAATTGACACAATACAAGCAGCATCTCATTCACTGGGGACAAAATCGAGATTGTTTCTGAGTGTGAATGGAAAGGTACAAATCGAGATTGAGTAAAGAGAGTTGGGGGCAGCCACATTAAGAATCTAAAACATGCTGGAATGAATTAACACTGGGAAGTGATGGTAATACAGGATGTAACTATGGAAACGGAATTCACCCTACTAATAGACTACTACTAGCATGCTGAGTTCATATGGTTCCCTGGCCCTCCTTTTATCTTTGTTTCCTCTCTCATGGGCCTCAGGATGGTAACATGGTGGTCAACACCAACCTCTAGTCCTGCTGGGTGCCTCTGCTCCTTGAAGACAGTTTAGATGTTTGTGGGTAGCCGTGCTCAGCCTCGACTGACAACCTGAGTGTGCGTGGTTCTTGCCAGTGGCTGGACTTACTTCTTATCCCAGCCCCTTCCTAGACCACTAACACCAGTTACCATCCAGCTCAATTCCTCTTCATCTCAGCCAAGATCTGCTCTAGCAATTTTGTCTGCTTCTTCCTTGCCTTGTTCTCTGGCCTTCATCTCTTCTTCCAATCCCTGTGAGTCTTCCAGGATTCAGATTATTTGCCTGAACTGGAAGCTCAGTCTTACACTATGTCCTCACAGTTTTCTTCCTTGCATGGCCCCTCGATACCTATATTTTAATGGTGCTCTTCCCCCCCCCTTCATTTTCAGCTAGTTTATTTGAAAATTTGAATACATTGTTTTCAAGAACAAATTCTTTCAATTTCCTTCACCACCACCCCCACCTGTCAAATTGTACAACCACGTGATTAATCCCCACCTTCTTCTGCACATCCTCATCCCTCTGCTTCCAACCTCTCCCACCCCTCTTGGGTCCTTATACTCATTCTACAATAATGGGTTTATACAATATTTATCCTTATGGGACTGAGTTAGTTCGCTCAGCATAATGCTCTCCAGTCCCTCCCAAGTTAGGTAATAATTTACAAAATCATTGCTCCTGCGTGCTGCATAGTATTCCATTGTGTGGTGCTCCATATTTGTGGTCTTGCTCCAACTTCCTTATACCTTAGTTCTGCAGTCAGCTATTTCTCCATTGAACATTAGCTCTACTTCTTACTGTCTTTGTGATGTGAGCAAGTTACTTAAACACAGAGTCTTGGGTTTTTAATCCATAAACTAGAAATGATCATAATAGACTTGTGGAGTTAAATGAGCTCTTTCTTACTGAGCCTGAAACACAGGCCAGGTGCACCATTGTCATTTGCAGGAGGCCTGTTAGGTCTTTAAGTTAAGGTTGAATCTTTGTGAGCTTAAGATGGTCTTAAGAATGAAGGCCAAGGCCAACTGTACAAGTGTATTTGGAAGGATGAAGCATCAGGATTTGATGCAGTGTTTTTAAGGAATAACGAAGGATAGGGACTTGTGCTAACGTGGAGGACGCTTCCCAAGATGACTAGGGAAAGAACTGTGACACCTTTGGAGGTAAGAGTTTTTATGATAGGAGTCAGAAAGGATGCCAAGTTCTGTTTTTTATCATGTTGAATTTTTTGGCAAGAAACTTCTAAGAGGAAGTTTCAAATAGGCATTTGGGACCTAAAGTGTGGATTTGCGTGCCATCTGTATTGAATTGAATACCAGAAAATGGCATTCTCTGAAGTGGAGTGGCAGATGGAGCCTTTTTAGTATTGCCCAGTTTTAATACTCTCTCCTTGAGTGGCAGCCTGATTATGAACTCTGACCAGCTACTGACCAGCTTCTCCCCTTTTGAACGTAGACCCTGGTTTTTGGTGGGAACTATTGCTGTCAGGGACCTTTCCAAATTACTGAGGAGCAGTGATGTCAGCTTGAAGACTAAGGTGCATCTGATTCAGGCCATGATATTTTCCTTCATTTGCTGTGTCTGAAAGCTGGGCAGTGAAAAAAGATAACGGAAGAATTGATGCCTTTGAACTGTGGGGTTGAAGACTAGTACTGGATATCTCATGAACTGCCAAAAGAACAGACAGACATGTCTTAGAGAGTGCAGCCAGAAGCTCCTTGGTAGCAATGATGACAAAGCTTCATCTCATATACTTTGGGCATGGCGCTAGGAGAGGCTGTTCCTTGGAGAGGGTCATCATGTTCAGAAAGGTGGAAGGTCAGCGAAAGAGAAGAAGACCTTCAACAAGATGGATTGACATAGTGAGTGCAGCAAGGGGTTCAGAGATGACGAGGATGGCACAGGCTTCAGATCTGTTGTCCATAAGGTCACTGTGACTCTGACAGCCCCTAACAGCAACAATTTAGAAAGAATTTGCTGGTCCTATCAGTCCCCTGACCTTGGGAGAGGTCTCATTTTCTAATCCTGCTTCCTGGTCTGTATGCCTGGTGGGGTCTAGCCTTGAGAGAGCACTTTATTGGTCTAGAGTGACTCCACCCATTTCCCCAGGTCAAAAGGAGACAGGGAGTTCAAGGTCATAGTGGGTGTGAAACCAAGCTTCCCAGCTGGTTTAACCCAAAGACCTTGTGGTCAATGTCTGTGTTCCTACTTACATAACAAGGTCTGGTTGAACTCCTGAATGTTGCTAATTCTGTGCCAATTTTTCCAGTCTTTACTGCCTAAACCTTAACTACAAGTTTAGCTTTGGACTTAAAGGTCCTTGGAACTCTGATCAGCTCACTTCCTCTGGCTTGCCTCTCAGATTTATCAAGAAATGACAGTAGCAAAAACATATCACAAGATAGCACATATACTTTTAAGCAATATATGTGATATGTGTTTTAAGGTGATATCACATATACTTTAAAGCAGTTAAGGTAACCCTTCTAGCCCAACTATATCAGAGTCTTTTTATGAGATATGCATAAATAAGACTTGGGTCCTGTTTAGATCTACTTTTAGCATCTCTCACATACCTCTTGGACATGCTACCGGGACTTATCAAGATTGAGGCAATGAAAATTATCCTATGATCCCAGAAATAACCGATCAGGGGAAAAAAAACATTTGGAAGAGGTTAGGGTGAAACTAGTACAGAATGAGATCAATGAGAACATCGGAGACCTCGGCTACCCACAGAAGTTTATCTATAAAGATGAGAGGGAGGGAAAGAAGGGCCAAATCCTTGCTGAAAGCTCTGGGGTCTTCAGGGCTGTAAAACTTACCTTAGATCCACATTTCCAAGGCTTCCTCCCATGTACCTGAAAGTGCTAAAGTAACGTTTATTGAAGGAAGCATTTTGACAGTCTCCTCAATCAAGAGTTAGTAATTGATGATTATGTTTATAAAGGTTCATGCTACTGTGTGTACGGTGGCACCGATCACCCAGGGCTGCTACCAGCCTTTGAGGTTCAGAACAGATGAAGGATGACTGGACATCAGGAATACTCTCCTGATGAGGCGGGCTCACTAAGCTAACACTTACATAGCAACCCTTACAAAGCAGATTTACCGTTATCTCCATTCTGCAGATGGGGAAACTGAAGCTTCTAACTCACCTGGGGTCTCAGAACCTGGCGGGGGTGGGAGGGGGCAGAACCAGACTTTGAATCACCTCTGCCACTTCACTCATACTCAAGCTTTGTGCCCGAAGCCTCGTGGTACTAGGTGGGTCAAATCTGGAGACAGGTGGGAATCCTGTGCTTCACTGGGCAGTGACTGGGAGGCAAGGTGGTTGCCAGCTGAAAGGAGACCTTTTGCCTTAGAGTGTGTTGAAAACTCAGAATGACTGATTAGGGTTTGACATGTTTTCATGGCTCATATAATGGAAAGAAGCAAAGCAGGCTGGGAGGGGGAAACATCGTTATCACAGCAGATGCCTCTGGGCTTAAATCATGCGCTGCCCTAGCCCAGCTCCCCTGGTCAAAGTGCTTCTCCGTGTTCCCCTCTCTCCGGTCTGTGAGCTTGCTCGGCCTGATGAGGAGAGGTCACTGCGAGCCTGCATCAGGCTTGGAGGGGAATGAGAATGAGCACTGGACAGCAGAGTGCCCTGTTGCCTTTCAGTCTGTAAAATAAGAATGTCAAGGAACAATTGTTTCTTCATTGCTGTGAATGTGGGCCTTGTGTTTCCAAAGGTCAGTGCCTTTGAGCACATCATGGTTTCGAGTGGGTCCCTATGGTAATTAGGCCATCGTGACTGAGGGCGTTTTGTGTCAGCGGGGCGCTGGGTTTCCATCCTTCTGTGCAGTGCATGCTTGTTTTCTGCAAATGTAACCACTTCTGTGTTTTCTCTTTTCTTCTTGTTTTCATCACTTTTTGCACCGCACATAGATCTGGAGCCAGAGAATTCCTCGGCAGGTACCGTGTCTCCTGCATTCTTTCTGTCCCCACCTTCTACCAGGGACCCCTGAATTAGAAGGGATGAGGAAGTGCGTTTCTGAGAGTGAGAAGTTTTGTGTTTTGGATTTTTTCTTCTCTAGATGAGTGGAAGCTTTCTTCCAATGCTGATGCCAATGGAAACGCCCAGACCTCTTCCCTCGCTGCCAAGGGCTACAGAAGTGTGCACCCCAACCTTTCTTCCGACAAGTCCCAGGTAGGCGTCTGCCCAAAGGGAAGGGCTGCCAAGTGGTACCTATTCTTGAGTCTTGTTTTTAACTTAAATCTGTGACCTCCTGTTTCCCCAACTGAACAGTGAATTAGGATCTGAGTCAAGCTTCTGGTCAACCAAGGAAAACGTCACAAAGACCAGAGATGGGGGGAAAAGTTGGAATCTAGGGAAGCAAGAACAAACAATGTATACCAGGATGTTAGAGCTAGGCCTGATAATTGGAGGTTTGATACTAGGAGGAAATGGGTTTGAGGTGGTGGTGTAACTTTTTCATATGTAATAATCAAGAAAAGAGTGCATTCATTCATGTGTTTATTCCATTAATCAGCTGGATCAGAACTGTATCCAGCAACTGCATCCATTTAGATTAAGATCTTGCAGCTCAGCCCAGACCTTGAATTCAGAGGCTAATGGACAGACAGGTTGATGTTGGAATGGTAACACAGCTTTGATCAAACAACAATAGCATTGCCTTACTTTAAAAAAAAAAAGCCCCTACATTGTACAGCATAGAGTAAGGATGTTGTTGTTGTTGTTGTTATGTGCTGTTGAGTCACCTGCGACCCTATGCGAGATGCTCTGAAGCCTGCCAGTCTCACTGCCTCTGACACAACCTACCCCCATAACTTCTCATTCTCTTTTTGCCATTTCTTAAGCCTTTGCATAAGTGAGTAGCCAGGGGCCACCCTTTTCCACTATCTCAAAAACTAATACAATTGGCTATCTCTAGATTAGAAAATATGACGCTCTAGTGGCCTAGTGGGTAAAGAGTTGCATTTCCAACGGAAAGCAAGGTGATTTGAGTCCACTGATTGCTCCACAAAAGAAAGATGTTCTCCTCCCGTGCAGTTTACAGCCTCTGAAAACCCACTGGAGGGTCAACTATGAGTTGAGTTGCTTCCAACTCAATAAATTGAGTTGTTGAGCTGAGATTAGAAAATAATGCTGATTAAGTCAAAGCAAATGTAGGACATCCTTTCTTCCACTCAGTGTCTCAGCCCAAAGCGCAGCTCAGTAGCTTCTTTGGCTTCTTAAACAGCTCTTCTAAAAAGGAGTTTTCAAAGCATGTGAAGTAAGTGAAAATTCATTAAACCTTTTAAAATACATTCATTGGGCTAAGATTTATGGAACATCTGCTGTGTAGAGATCACTGTGTTAAACATTTCCTTCATGGAATTTGTGGTCTAATAAGGATAAGCATCCTGGAATACTCCTACTGCATGCCATCTCATCATCTGTCATGCTCCAAGAATTCTCCCTTCCAGGGAACCCGGTAAATTGTTGGCATTGTGAGGTTCTTCTCACATACTTAGTGTAAAGTTGGCCATCCAGACCCTTTAGGTCATGTGTTATTTCTTGGCGTTGTCCTTTATTAATTATAAAAGTGATTCTTGACAATTTAGTCCTTGCCAGAGCTGTTAGGGTCTCCCAGACCAGCTCAGGCAGAGGCAGCCAAAGGACGCTGGGTTATTGACTCTCCTGGGCTGCTTTCAGAAGAAGCAAGTTCTCCAAGCCTGTAGTTAACACCGCCACCACGTACAGACAGATTGGAAATCTGTGTCCTGATGACGCGGTTATTAAACAGACCAGCCAACCTCCAGTTCAGAGCTGCGGAGTCGATTCTGACTCACAGTGATCCTTCGTTGGGTTTCCAAGGCTGTCTGTCGACTGTAGCAAGACAAGGAGACTGCCTGTCATTCTCCCAGAGAGTGGCTTGTAGATTTGAACCTCTAGAGAAACTTGAGGCTCTTGGGTCGGCAGCACAACTCAGTATGGACTGCACCCTCAAGCTCCCTGATAATTTTTACAGGCCTTTCCATATACCAGCCTGGCCGTACCTCTGTCTGCACCTAATAACAGGGAACCAGCTTCCTCTCTCTGCTGTCACCACCACGGTGGCTCCCTGCAGAGTGGTGTCTGGAACTGTTTATAAACTGTGAACATATCAGATTCTTCAAGCAGCCTCCCCCTTCCCACCCCTCCAAACTGGTCCACTTTCTAAAAAGATAAATGGAATTCCGTTTTCTCTAGCTGGTCAAGGAGTCAGAACTATCTGTGTGGTTCCTACAGTGTTTAAAATTAAAAGTTTTCTTGCAGGCAAAATCACTGTCCCAACCCCCCTCCTTTTTGGGGCTAAAAGAAGCCTTAAGACAGGAAGACCTTTGGCTCTGAGTGCATCGTCAACACCCTAGGGAACGTGGCCGCTCTGAGGGTCAGAGCCCTGGGAAGGCTTGTGGCCTGATGTAATTCAGCCTGGCCGCCATCTATGGCCACAGCCAAATTAAGTTAAATCCTCCCTGAAATCGATTTCTATCTTTGGACAAAAAGGAATCACAGATGGGATACTCGAGCTCTAAGTAAAAGTAAATCTGAGCCCAAATCAAAATAGTCTCTTACTTACATCCTTAGCAGCTGTTATCAACTTACCCAGCAGTCCCTCTGGAGTGTGGTAACCTAAGTATTTTGTTTCTAGAGAGCATCATTTAGTCTGTAAACATGCCCCCGTCTCCAGCCTAAATTGAATTGAAAACCAAGCGAGTTCAGGCAGAAGGTGTTGCTCTTGCTGACGGATGAAAAGTTGCTGCTCGCTTTGTGTTTTTCAGTCGGTACCTGTGTGGCGTTCTCTTAGGACCATCACTGCCACCTAGTAGAATGCACAGGTTCCAGGTTAACCTAGAGTTACCCAAATGACTCTTCTGCAGTGAGTTTCTATGTGATTTGCAAACTGAGCTTGTTAAAGAATAGATTATTGTCGTGGGGTTTATATTCCAGTCCAGACTTAAAGAATGAGCTCTCTCCTCACCTGTTCCCTTTTCTAATATTCCTCCCCCCCCCGCCTCCATACTCCACCACATACAAAAATGAGGATACAAAACAGAAACAGACCCACGCCTTCTCACCCTACCCTGTTTGGTCACAACCCATTTTCCAAATATTGACCAAGCTTTAATACTCCTCACTTGTTCATTTTGAAGGAAAGTGCTGAGGGTTTTTCTAGAACTAGGGTATCTCTTTGGAAGGAGGAGTGGCATCCACTTCCATAACAGCTTGCCTCCGGAAACCCTATGAACCTGGAGAGAGAATGAAAGGCACCCAAGCGTTGAGGGCTCTCCTTCATAGGGTCGCTATGAGTCGCCTGCGACGCAACGGCACTTAAAAACAACAGGGCATTTCTAAGGATAAGGGCCAGTTAGGAAAATCTCAGTTAAATGACTTCATTCTCATGGTCTGATTCCCAGTCGAGCCTCATGCTGGCAGATGGTTCTCATTGACATTAGAACCTTTTCCTGATTCTCTTCCCAGCTGAGACCCAAGGAGAAGCTAGGAGCTGTACTGAGGGAGAAGGAATGAGATAAGCACAACTTGCTAGCACTGAACCTGTGGCCAGAGCTTTGGGCTTATGCTGGAAGCCCTCGGCCAGTTGTTCAACACCTTACATTGTGTTTAGTGGTTGTCTGGGAGGGAAATGGTATTTGGACTGAAAGTGATTAACTCAGGCAATGCCTCTTCCCTTTAGGCTTGTCGCTTTAGTGTGCTTCATAAATGGGAGCCTTGTTTGTTGTTACTGTTGTGTACCATCGAGTTGGAACTGACCCATCACTGATCCTCTAGTGGGTTTTCAGAAGGAAATTTCAGGAGGAAATTCCCTAATCCTTCTTCCACGGAGCAGCTGGTGGATTCGAACCACATGCCTTTGGAGCTGCCTACATGTGTTTAATCTCATGCCTATCTTTCATGTTAATAATAACTTGTTGTTGTGTACCATCGAGTCGGAACCAACCCATAGCTGACCCTCCAGCAGCTTTTCCCAGGCAGTCAATCTCATGGGAAGAGACTGCTCATCCTTCTCCTACGAAGCAGCTGGTGGATTGGAACTGTGTGCATTCAGGATTGCAGTTCAGCTTCTAACCACTAGGCCACCAGAACTCCCTTGTTATCTACCTTGTTAATAACTCAAGTTTCATCAGATTGTTTTCTCTATGAAAAGAGCACATGTGGCTTGTAATCTTTGGCCTTTTCTGCTTGGTGAGCTTTGATTTGTTATGCTTATAGAACTCGTTGTGAGATCTGAATTGGGACCTTTAAGACAGCTGTGTCTCATGAGCCAGAGCTTTGAACAGGTTCAGCCCCAGATTCAGTATATCTGGGGTGAAGGAAAAAGCAGAGATTTTCAGGAGGGGGTCACACTCGTTCAGGTTCCTGCTCTGAACAGAAATGAGATTCTTCCAGTTCTCCTTTTCCTGATGCAAGAATGAAAGAGCCACTCAGACTGAGTTTTAGTAATCAGGATGGGTGTGTCAGAGGCAGTGCGATTGGCACAGGATAGAGCAGAGTTTAGGGTTGTTGTACATAGGGTCGCTATGAGTCGCAAACGACTCAACGGCACATAACAACAATAACAACAACAATAAACTTTATTTTTTTGAGCCATTTTGGGTTTACTAAAAGCTGCACAGAATGTACAGAGGGCATGAACTTGAACGTTGAACACTTAAGGCTTAAAGGAGAAGTCTGAGGAAAGGTGTTGTGGGAAGGAAGTGGGGGCTCTGGGATTTTCCCCTTTGGCATTTTAACTCCTCTGATATGCGTCTTCAGTCTGGAGACCTAAAACTACGCAGGTCAACTAAGGATGGGTGTCAATAGGGACTTAGTAAATGGCCTCTCGTTGTCTGTGTTCAGCCTCCTTTGATATAAAGGGGAGACAGGCCTGCCCTCCACAGGTGAGCACGATTAAGTACTTGGCCACTTGCCCAAGCCCAGAAGAGGCACCGTAGGATGCAAACTGCAAATTTATTTTACAACATGCCAAGTATTGTTTTAATTGTTCATACCATGTTGTGCTGCTGTTTCTAATGGGCGTCCTTGTTTCCATTTCTCCTATTTCTTTTTTTCTCTCCTCCCTGTTTGGATGTCATGTTTTGAAAATAATACTAAAGGTTCTCTCTCCCCCACACCTCCCTGGCCTTCAGGAGGGCCGCTTTGCA